GAAATATCTTACCAAAAGCTAGAAGAATCGGTTTCCAGATCTTGCGGTTCGCCGATTTTGCTTGCAGAAGAAGCATCCAATTTCCTCTACTCCTATAGGAAATTCTAAGCCTGGTTCAGATGGTTGTCCATTGGAGGTTTTAATGTTAAATCTAATTTCAATCAATCAATCTTCGTCAACATCGTAATGATTATGAATCGGGTCACAATTTCGACGCACCGTTACAATTTGATAATTTATTTATAATAAATACATATTTATTATACCAGTTCTGTTATCTAAACAAGAAGTCTTCGTCGGCGCCACACTTTTTTACGGTCACACACATATTTCATGGTAATTAAATGGTTGTGCAATAACATGGTACCAATTATCTTTAAAGGCCCATCTGCCCAAAAATAGCGCGCTTCTTGATGGATCAATTTGGGTGGCCGAAAGCTCATAAATTAATGGTTCCATTTTTTCTCGCATTTAAAAGAGTTTGCCATCTCAGCTACACCAACGCTCATCGAGTGTTTGCTCTATTTTTGTCATTGAAATTATCTGATTTTGGGTACATTTATCTGCTAAAGCATTCGGATTGTTCAGTCGTCAATAGCCAACTAAACTGTAATTAATTGACTGCATCACTTGACTTAAACGCATTCACTCGCTTTTCAGTATACTTCAAGGTTGTTACAAATTACATTTATTCTTAAGATCTGCTTGAAAATTTCACTCATTTCAAGCTGCTTGACCTGCATCTCGACTATATGGCAGTTATTAATTCGGAAAGGCTCCCTATATAGCTCGAAGTCACTTAACTGCTAAAAGCTTGTTTTGCTGCAACGAAAACTCAATTACTAAAATTTTCCGATAAAACTGTTTTCGCAATATAGCAGCCAATTTAAGTAGCTTCAGCATCCTGAAAGTTTCAGATAGCTATTAAGGTTGACAGCCCTGATATATGATAGTAAATTTCAACTTTTCAACGTTACAAATTTGATGTTTTGTTCAAATTATAACTGAGAAAAAAATATACGAAAATTCAGGTTTCAAATTAGCAAAATTTTGCGACTTTAAAATCGACGACCCGAATAAAAAAGACATAAATGTTGGCAATTTTTAAGAAATTTGCGTATGCAGCGATTCAATTTAAACTTTTTTCACTATGACTCTTCACAAATTTGTTCGCTTTTCTAATCTCACAGGACAGGTAGAGGTGGATTTTCAAAAAATATCAATTTTCTCAAAATTCTTCAAATACTACATCATTTTCGTCTCCAGGAGGTACATAGAATAACGCACTGATTGAAAAACACGTTAGATCCTAGAGATCGGAAATAACTGAACATTTTTACCCATTTTCTCCGGGTTTTAAGAGCAAAATTTTTAACCGACGATATTTTTCTTATAAACCCTAACTTATCAATCTTATCAATTCTCTCAAAATATCTTAAATTCACATCACATCATTTTCGTGTCATAGAAGCAAGTAAGTAAGAGTTAATTGTAAAACGCGAAAAAAAAATCGGAATTAAGAAAAAATGCAGAATTTAGACATACATATTTTATGAGAACGTTTTTAGTTTTGATCGGATACAATTTTCAATCTTCGATATTTTTCTTATTATAATCGCAAACCCTCTATTTATGTATATTGAGGAGCTGCTTAGGCCGAAAGATATGCATTGAGCTTCAAATACTCGCATGTGAAGTTTTTACTTTTCACCGAATTATGAATTTTGTCAAACTGCCTCAAATTTGACATCATCTTCAGCATAAAGAAGAGATGCAAGATGCTCGTTGAAAATCACTCTAGAATCAAATTTCTATTAATTGTTGTTTTTTTAAATATCTGGTCTTTGCCCTCTAACTTTTTTTATTGGGAGGTTTTGAGGTCGGAAACAATAGCTCAAAAAACACGCATGTGAAAATTAATTTGCATTAATCGACAAACAGAATGCAGAAAGACAACCAAACTGCTAGAACTTGAAAGCAGAATACGTAAAAAAAATTGTGATTTTTTTCCTCTGGACAGTGCAAATGAGCATATAATCGACCAAAACCTAAACCTAATCGACAACAAAAAAGCAATTCAATCTGAAAATCTCTGAAAGTTCTGAGAGAATGAAAATCTTTGATGAACGATGTAGAATAGTTCTCAAATTTGCAAAAATCATTATTTCTGTTTTAAATACATATGATTGTTATTTTGTAAATTTTCTTACAAAAGCAAACTATCAAAAATTTGCAGAAGTTTCGAGGGTCAATTTGGGCGCCTGTCAACGTTTATAGAAGTGCGAATTTCAAACTTATTAATTTAATTCAGACCCTCGAACTAACCAATATCGATTGAAAACACAAAATACAAAAACACTTGACTTGCGATCATTCTAGGACCATTTACGACGATTTATCTATTTTTAAAACATCTGATATCATCAATTAGAAAAAAGGCATAGATTCCGATGCATTTTGACCGGCTTAATATCAGTTCCGCCAAGTTGGGCGGGTTCTATGTGTGTTTATAAATCGTCTAAAAGAGCCGATTTTAATGGGCAAAAAGACCGCTGAGTTCCGAAAGGGTCGTTTCGGACATCAAATTTACATTTCGGATCCGCAGGGGTCGGCAAATCTACTACATTCAATTAACTTAACTCCAATTATTGGATATTGTTTTTTTTTATGGAATTCAGCACGATATTGCTTGATTTATGCAAAGATCCGCTTGCCGGCGATGGGTGAAATTTGAACTGCAAATTTTTTGATTTTTTGTTACAAATCTAGTCTTCAGATATGTTTTGTTGATTGGGATTTGACTACAATTTTGCCGATCCAAAGTTGATTAAATTATTCCCCTTCTAATTAAAATCCACACTTGACACCTAATTTGTCTTTTCAACACGATGATTAACATTCGAAATTAATTCTGGGACTGCATCGACAATTTTATAATTGATCGAACGCGAGGAGAATCCACAAGACCTTGTACGAATTCGTGTCTCTGGTGTTAATTGTAGTTTTTCTAGACGTTTGAAGATGTTACGAGTGAAAAATGTTAATTAACGATGGTCGGAGTTCGGATGATCCTCGTTTCGTAACTCTGAATAATTTGAATGTCTTAGGTGAGAGGCCAGTGCCAACAGCATGATAAATTGATATCAATTTGTCAGGTTTTTTGGAACATTTCAACTATGAAAACTGGGTTTAGTTTTAAAAAAATCCCACAACATTCCTAACCCAGTTTGGTTCATTTGACTTCCAAATCTGAAAGTTATTCGTATTTAAAACACCCCTTGATTACAGGTCCGTTACCTTCGCAGGACTAATTTTTTTTCATTTTTTGTGAAAGTTGCAAGTTAAAATTGCAAAAGTTGTTTATTTAACCATTTCTTCTATTGGGTATTTTAAAAGCTGAGGCCAGTTGGCGCGGATGGTCAAACAAGAAACCACCTCTGAAGATGAAACAAGTCGTACTTGCGAAACGTCAGGGAAAAACCCACCAGTTTGGATAAACGATGAAATCCAAAAATGCAGTTAAATTTCAGTTTCTTATTGAAAGAATCGATTTGGTTTCGTTCGGTCACTGAAAAACTGAATTCTTATTCATTTGCTGACCGAATGACGATCATCATTATTTATAACTGTGATTATCCACAGCTGAAAAACAAATAGTCTTGAAAGACAGGCAATTTGAATATTATAATGTAAATGTCTTCAAATAAGCCCAGATTATTTATAACAAAAGGGGCAATTGGTAACCTGAAAAACCCACTTGACTCAGTACATCAGATTTATTTTAAGGCGATTTACTAATAATCAAATAAATAAATAATTATCTCTTTACATTTTTGATTAGTATTTTGTGAAATTGCGACGCCAAAGACGGACATTTGCATTTCGACGAGAATTAAGAATTGAAAATGTTCGAAAATATTGACATAGCCGGCGAAGAAAATGCTAAACAGGCGGATTTGAAAGTGGTGTGATATCGTTTGGGGCGATCAAATCATACCGAAAAAATAACTATGATAATTATTTTTTTACCGATGAAAAATCAATTGAAGTTCGTCTGATGAATTTAGTAGTTTTCTAAAAATGGTTTTAAACAGAAAATGGGGAAAACGTAAAACACTATAGTAAAACAGAACTTTTAAACCTCTAGATTAACTGTGCCAGTCTTCTTTAACTTAAGGCATTGTCTGCTCTTGTATCTGTCCTTCTATATCAGTGAGAAAAGAATGGATATATTAATTTCAAGTCCACTTAATTTTGGCATAATAATAAATTGGCTTCGCGAGAGGTCTGTCTTTTGTATACGAAATGAAGGCTGAGTCAGAGGAAAAGTGGCGCCATATTAATAAGCATTTAATACAGTTTTCCATGCCATCTTTCACGTCTGCATGCTTATTCTTGTAACCTAATTTTGAGTAAAGAGGCGTAGCCAGACCCCCCTGTGTGTCTTGATCTTGCTTGCTCCAGCCTCAAGATATTCAATTAGACATTATAGACATTAACAGCATTTCCTGGTAGGAAAATTTACTATAACTGCACTAGAGAGTACCTGCATACTTAAACTACAATAGTGTTTTGACAAAAGGCAATATTGCAAGGTATAAAGCCAACCAACCGGATCAGATACCGGTGTTTGAACATTATAAGAACGAAAATTATCTGTGTTATCTTGTTGTTCGAGTGGAACACGAAAGGCCATATTTTTGGTTCATGTTTAACAAGCTGGTTTACAAAAGGTATCATTTTCCAAAACCATTTAAGCGGTTGTAAGTTCATTTTTCACGTCCTTTTGTCTCCGCGGAATACGACACGTCGTAAGAATAATAAACGTTATTACCAAACACTTTGTTTGTTTATAAGGTAACAAGAGTCCTAAAGTGTGGTCGCACCTTTTTTCAGCTCCCACGTATTTTTCGAGCGCAGCAGAACTGTGTTTCTGGGTTGTCAATTTTAATACTGTAAATTGTATGTGGTTTTATAACTCTTTTTTTCTTCTGTTACAGGAGACGTGCCAGAAAAATTTGCCGGACGACGATCAGTGGTAAGTTGTCTAGATTTTTGTTTATTTTATTGTCGATTAAATTTTCAGTGCAAATAGGCTACGCCCACCTTAACCAACCAGGAAATTTAAAATCATTTTTAACGAAATAGTGCGAATGTTCCCGAAGAGTTGACTCTTCAAGTTTCAATTTAGATTGCTTTTTGTTGATTTTCTGGTTTACCTAGGATCACCCTGTATATTCACTTGTTTTACTCCTATTTACTTTTTCAAAGGTTAAATAATTGTTAGGATTTATCATTTTATGCAAATAAGTAGATTTACTTTTATCAAAACAGGCAAAGTAATGAATCGTTTGCGTCTTCGTTCCATTATACCAGCGGTTTGTATGAATATTAATAAGCGCGTAATAGCTTTTGATTTGCCATAAACAGGGCTGAAACAAAGTTGTCGGGTCATTATATCGGGTTTGAAGCATTTTATTACCGATCAAACGGCCGAACTATTTCAATTTGATTTTGTTTATCGGAGGCAAGATATGTATGTGAAACCTGCCTCTAGATTCGAGCATTTTGGGCTGTGGAGTGAATCGTCCGGAGTTTTCTGTCGCCCTGAATAGATACATCAAATTTTAATTAACACCCAGACAGATGAGTTTTGGCCTCAAAGCGGGGCCGCAAAGCCGAAATTTTCGTTTCGCAATTAAATTTTGAAAAATCGGCCGTAAATCGCAACTGGTCGGCCACATCGCAGATGGCCTTTGGACAAAACAATGGCAGAAAACAATTGCCGCCGCGCGTGGGCTACTACAATAATCGATTCATCAGTTTATCGCCAGGCCTGCCAACTGCTCCTGTCATGTTGGCGGCACTGAATGCGCACTTTGCACTTACAAAGATGTTCTACACGAATTACCGAGGCAGGAGGCAGACAGTTCAGAATCACACCCAACTAAAAGATTACTGTAGGTATTTGACGCTCACTGGATATAAATTTATTTAAATCTTCATGCAATTACATTCCATTAGGATGATTATATTGAGCTGCAGTTATTGCAAGATGGCGGGCAATGCGCAGATGATTCTATTTTTTATAGGTTATTTCTCGGGTTTGTAGTAAGAGATTAGTTATGTATCAGCCATCAAACAATAATTCGAACTATTAAAATTTGCCTTAATATAATACATTTGAATTTGCAAAGATGACATACCTAAAGAAAATTTGATTAAGAACAGTTCAAGGCGCAACTTTGTAGCAATTTTCAAACAATAAAGTAAATGATCTCATACGAAAAAATCTAAAAATGTGATTTTGCTACGTTTTTGGGGTTCGAAAGATTCTAGTAACCCGCTCTGTTTGGAAACACAATTTAATAAACCAAACTATAACCAACAATAATTCCACTGATATTTAACCTTGCTTCAAGCGCTTCCTTTATACATGTACATGTATAACCGTTTGGCAACACTCGAATATTCTGTCAATATAACTCTCAGCGCAACAATATAATTCAGTTAAATGTGTTCTATACCCGAAAAAGGTATAAATTAAATAATAAAATGATGGTATTTTTTAATTTATTTTTAACATCGAGATTCTATCTATAATCGAAGAATTCGAATTATCCAATTCGGTTTTTCTCAGCACTTGTTTATGAAGTCTACAATACATAAAACCAGGCAAATTTACCCATACCATTGTGGTTTATAACCTTAAGAATACAACTTTGTGTGTTTGAAGAACAGTAACTTTGGCCGGAAGTTTTCCATCCCTTCATCCGCTCAATTACACTCCTTAATATTAATTGCATGCTCACGCATATGAAAGAAAACTGTATATAAAATAATTAATTTGTTTTGCAGGTTTACTCCGGCGATGTTACTCGAGCAATCGCCCATGATCAAGACTGTGATTGACCTAACAAACACGCATCGATACTATAATCCAAAGGTAAGTAAAATAGAAGAAGGAATGAGGATTTGCTGAATAACAGTTTAGAAGGCGGATGAAACTCTGCTCTCAAAAATTTGTTTCTTCAACTTCTGTCGAATCGGAATATAAACTAGACAGTCAGTTCGAGAAAAACTTACTTTGCTAACTTTTTTCGAAATTTCCCTGTTAATTGGCCTAACACGATTTTCAAGAGAAACAATTAGCAACTTTAAAAAAGCATCGATACAAGACAGACAACAACAACAAGACAGAAGACGAAACAGGAACAGTTTTCTTTTACAGGCTCCTTCCTAGATCACTTTTAATTTGTATCGGCCAATGTTTTAAATTAAATTATTCTTATCTTGAGTACCTCCAAATACTTTATAAACTTCAATTCCGCTATTTTTGCAACCTCTTGTTCTCTATCGTGGTATCTTTCTAACGTCACTTGTGTTGTAAGATTTGCTTCCTTTATTAGCCTCTCCTCCGCAGTCTTCACTTCCACCATTGGCATATTGGTTAAAATCCTAATCTGGTCAATGAGCCGATCGTCCTCTACTCATTCCCTCATCAACCCTTCTATTTGTACAGTTGATGGAAAACAGTCCTTGGGATTTATTTTTAGTTTTATAATTGAAACATTTATTACTCGAAGGGCTCAATTCTCCACCGCCAAGAAGCCGGGACAGGTGGTTTTTTTGCCATTCCAATTCGTACTTTAATTTCTCCTGCTAATCTCCCAGATAAATTACTTTTTCGTTCCTTTGCATGTTTGGCACCAGTTGGAAAGCTTGAGGCAGTACTTTCGCGTTAGCTTTTGACTACATTGAGAATATTCAGTTTTAAGCCTGTCTACACTGTAATGTTCAATTGGTTGCAGCAAAATTACCAGCTACTCTGACTGTGTTAACAGAGTTGTGTCGTCAGCATAACGAAAAGTCGATATTTTTCTCCAATCGATACTCCACCCATCCAGCTCTGTGTTGCCAATTCTTTTGATTGCGCGATTTAAAAACCAACTTATCTTTGAGATAATAATAATAATAACAAAAACTTGCTTGAATAGCTATATAGGGCCTGACTGCGACCTCTCTCTATTTCCTTTTTTTTTTTTGGATCAAGCTTTTAAATTTCCGAGTGATTCAATAATAATCAGGTTATTTAGTGGCTCCGATTAAAACCTTACCATTACCGATTCAGCGCCTAAAGCCCATATCATGTTGGATTGTTTTCGAGCTTAATAGAATCGTTTATATTGGGTTATAAACCTATTATTATGGATGTCAAACCCTATTACCGACAAGCGGATTTGTTTATAAACCCATTGTATTCGAATAACGATGTAACTGTCTGTCAAAACTGTCCGCTCACTTGTTCAGGAGTCGATATTATTTAAATAATAAAATTACTTTACATGTAAAGTGGAAGCCTGCTTGTATAATTTTGTTTTTTGGACGGATTTTCACGTTCGCCTAAACATCTACATAACGGACCCTTTACAGATAAATATTTATTAAAAATCAATTCGCTTGTTGGACAAAGAATTTAAATTTATTTGATGTATTAATTAATATTAACAAATTCTTATTAATGTCTGAAGACAAACTTATAAATTAAAAGCCACGTTTAACTACATTTATCAATTAGCAAACCCTTTCAGAAATTCATTTTAGATTATTATTTTGATAAATTAGCTTGTTAACGATTTGTCGACATCTCCCTATTGACCTCTATAGGGCCAATTGAGCGTCAATAGATGCACCTGACTCTAATCGCACAAATAATGTTTATTCTAGCCTAATTAACGTGGATTCGTATTAACCTACTTAGTATCCGCCTTTCTACTCTGTTCCATCGACGAAAGAACAACACTCAAAAGGGGCAGGCATAATATTTATCAACACTTTACGACCTTTAAACAAAACGCATTTAAGACGTCCACTTTGGGCCGAACATAAAAAATATCTCTTCCTAGGTTTTGTAGTCTATTTATTTCCCAGAGTATTTTAATAAGCCAATTTCACGCTTAGGAATTAAAACTATCATAATAGACCCGACTCCACAATCAAAACGATCAGACAGGCATTCCGAAAACAACGATTTTCTTAGACAACTTTAGCATTGATTACCGTAATTTAACCACATTTTGTTTGAAAGTTTGTAATTGCTGTGTGGAAGAATTGGCGCAGTCAGTAGCAAGCAACTGGTTTATGAACTTTTGAACGTTTATGAATAACTTTTAAAAATTGTGAAAAAGTGGCAATTTTTTCTGCAAACTTTTCATGAGCCGCTGCTGAAACTCTTCAATTTCCCTGACTAATCTAAAGACTATACGGCCATCTAAACGTTATAATTTGACCGTCGAAGTACTTAAAAATCTTAATCTTAATTTGACATCCCGACTCAACACTTAAGTAAAAAAGGTCGCTCCATGCTCGGTTTTATCGTAAGCTTTGTTATTGATACCAGAACTTTCATCTTTCACTCTGGTTCGTGGACCAGCGAATTTGTGTTTCCTTCCAACAATTATTCCTCGGAAAATGCGACAAACAACGGACAGTGCGATTTTGTTTGTGACCCATTATCGATTAAGTTGGCATAAATAGAAACATTCATTTTTCAGGAGGAATTCGGGACAAAGGGCGTTGACCATGTGAAAATACTGGTTCAGGGCAACGGCAAGATTCCTCCCTCATTTCAAATTAGGAGGTAAGTGACCCAACATGTTTTCACCGGGATTTATCGTGTTTGTGGCGAAAAATACCATAAGTAATGGGGCTCTAGTTGACTAGTTCGAAAAGCCAAAGAGCAAAGGTCAGGACGACCACAAAGTCCAGCAGTTTTCAAGTAAAATAGCTGCTAAATGGATGATTTAAAAAAAACCGATTAGGACTTTTCCGTGAATAAATACTCTGAGGGGCATCCTTTTTCAGAATCTTCAAACAAGATCTATTTTCACATATTACTTTAATCGCCTTCTAACATTTTGGCTGTTAAATAAAATAACTGGTTTGTTTAGCGCACAAAGAACCATTTCCAGTGGATTTAGAAATTGTAAAATCGAACTATTCACTCGCGAAATATTTGCATACTTTATATCGTTTTATTGAAATTTATGGTTTTATTGATCACTTGCGAGGAAGTACTCGATTGGAATTTCTAACAAAAGTTCTAGGAAGATTGATTCCCTAACTCCTCATTTGCTACATTAGATCAGTTTTTTCAGCAGTTGTTTTCCCAAATTTTCTACCACAAAAAAGTTGTTCAGATCATTATACATTATACATTATTATTTATATATAACATTATACATTATACATACAGATCGGCCTGACTCGACGTTTTTTGTTAATGAGTTCAAGCGCTTAAAGTAGTTGATCTGTTTAGAACTCAACGCGCCATTTTCAGTGAAATTAACATTTTTGTAAACGACTTATTCGCCCCCGAGATATGTGAACATTTAATATATAGTTTTATTGAAATTTATGGTTTTATCATCAACCAGGAACTAGTTTCATCATTTGCAACATGAAATCAGTATTTCCATCTGTTCTTTTTCAAAATTTTCTACCCCAAATAAGTTTTTCAAAACTAATATGATGAACTGATGCAAAGAGCAACGCTTTTTGTTAATGGGTTCCAAACGTTTCAAAATTGATTAAAAAACACACGCAATTATAGTCGATTGTAATAAAAATACTTTTCACTTGTTCATGTTCAGATAGGTATAAATTGCGTGGTTTGTCCAGTGTGATCCAACATTCAAAAATAAATTATTACTGTCGTTATTTACCGAACGTTACGATCTAAATCAATTGAGAAACACCTCTAATAAGCTTATGAAAGGCAGATATTTGCTAAAACCATTAATAACGTTTAACGTAACATGATCAGGATCAGCCTAATTTATCAATGATTTGTCAAGTCGCGTTAGGTTTGTTTTCCGTGTTGGTTTTACTGCGGCTCGCTGCCAAGAATAAGAATTGGACAGTTAGAAAGATTTTCTAAGCTTTATCAGAATGCGGATATTTTGATTATTTCATTTAGATTGATCATATGAATTTCTTAAACCGACACTAATACGCTTTAGGGTTTTCTATGCCGAAGAGCACAAAAGTGCTTAGAGTTTCAGGCCATTTTATAAGAGTACTGTTTGATTTTGCCCAGTGTAATTAAAGGCAAATATTCCCGTTAGGATAGTGTCACAATATGTCAAAATTCATTAGGCATATCGGTGTAATTTGGATTTTAATTATCCGCGACACGCAACAGCCTGCGTGTTTATTGGCCGGCTTAAACACGACATCATCAGCATCAATGTTGCTCTGTTAGTTTACACGACGATGTCTTCATATTATCCCATCAACAAGGTGTGGTTCAATTGGCGCGTTTCAACTTCGTCAGTTTCAATGTTTCAACTAACGAGCATCAAAACTGAAGAACTGAAGCAAATCTACGAAATATCGAACATGGCCCGGAATGCATTCAACAGCCTAGAAGTTATTAACTGATCGTTTGCCCGTTTTTTTGGCAATAACTCAAATCGAAACGGTTCGAATTTAGGGCCTCATAAACCAGATAAAATTAGTCCGACTTTCGATCTCCAACTGTTTTTTAAATTGCCCGGGAATGAAGTGTTATTTAGCGGCTCCGCGGGGGTGTCAAAGGTTTTTCGGAAATTAACCAGCCCGAGTTCGGTAATATTTAGAATTGTTGAACGGTTTAATGCCTTGTAGACCTAATCGATTGCAGGCAGCTCCGTGCTGATGAATTTCAATAAAGTGAAATAGTGATCTCAATTGTTATTATTTTTTATCTTTTATCTCAATTTCAGTCGGTTTAAAGCTTAATTGTACGTACTTTCCTGACTGTGTTTCAATTCCAAATTAAAATCAAATCCTGGGTTCTTCAGTCATTTATTGTCTATTTATCAAT